AAGCATCTGCAGGGAAGCACTCACAAAGCATTTCCACCTGCCTAGGACTCCACCACCCTCCCTTGATCAAAGTGACTTTCCACAAGTGCAATTCCACTCCCATGTGAAACAGACCCACAGAACTGAGCACAAAGAGTCATTTAGATTGCTAAATTTCACTGCATGGGAGCGGAGGCAGAACAGTCACACTAACAGTTACTGCGTGTCCAAAGAGAAGTAAACCTTAGCCAAGAGAGAACCACACTAAAATCACAAGCATTCATTTGATCACTTCCCACAGCAGCAGAGACAGCAGGAGCCCTGGAATGGAATTTCAGGCCCAGCTTAAACTTCTGTCTCCCTGTGGAACAACAGGCAAGTCACCTTTTCTACCCGAATTCCTTCCCCTGTAAAATAGGCACTGTTGTCACTTGTCCATTCAAGTTACAAAGCAATCCTAGCAGGGATTATTTTTAGCATGCAAGCACAAAAACCCAGCTGAGCTGGACACTGATCTCAGCTGGGCCTTCTCATTGGCTTTGGAGTATAAAAAGTAAACAAGAAGCAAAGCTCAGCCCACATCAGAGCATTGCTACCAGAGTAGTAGCAATACCACCACTGGACAACAATTTGATAGCAGACAAACAATTGTCACAAAACAGTGAACTGCAGGTCCAAAGCTAGAGCTGAGGGATTAAAATAGATCATCAGCACCTTCAATCACTCAGTGGTGACCAGTGAGCTGCAAAAGGACAGCTTTCAATTCCACTTCAGGTATTCCAGTCACCAAATAAATGATGCAGGTGTTTAAGAGCACGTGTTGAAATAACTCAGAACTGCACTCTCAGACACAGCAGCAAGTGCTGAGGTAGCAGGAAAGCACTGAAAACTACAGTCAAGAGTAGAAACTCTGCACAGTACTTTGCTCCACAGCATAAACCACCAGCTCCTCCCAATCTTTTGGGAGAGACTGCAAGTGCCAGAAACTATTAACACCTGCTGAGATAACCTAACCAGCTCCACATTTTGAGAAATTCAGATTCACTACTATAAGTGGAGGGACAAGGGTAGAAAACTGCTAGAAATCAGTGCCTTAGATCAGAGCTCCCCTAAAGAGCATGCATTCAAGAAGAAACAGGATGGAATAGAGAGGACCTGAATAAACTGAGAGCACATTAAAAAAAAAAAAAAAAAACTACAAAAAAAAAAGTCATGATGAATCTCTAAAACATCAGTAATCATCCTATGATAAGCTGGGCCACAGCTGAATTTCTGCTCCCAGTCATGCCAGGCTGTTTAACAGTTTGTCAAGCTTATAAAGCAGTTATAGCTGCAGAACCATTGTGGGCAGCACAGACCCAGCAGCCACTAGCATACAGAGTCCATGCTCGTAGCTCTTTCACACTCCTGTATCCCAAAGACACAGGAATCATTCTCTGCTTGGTTTACCAGTCTTAGCATCTGTCACGTGTCCTCCTAGAACCACAACTACTTGCATAAAACAGGGCAAACCATCTCTTTTCTGGAAGTACACTTGACCCTTAATCATTCCTTTTCTATGGCTACAAAGCACCATTTTTATCATACCACCTGGAATTACCATCATGTGCAACAGGATGCCTTTATGGGCAGTTCTCATGTGACCAGGTTGGTTCCCATCTGCAGTTTTCCAATATCCAGCTATTGCCAGCTGCCTAAGTACAATTGCCACCTGTTTCACCCACCCTAAAGATGCTCCCATTTTATTTTGCCTGACCTGCTGCAAGCACCATACCAAGACTGCAGCCTTCTGCGTCCTGCTGCTGGCCTCTCCTGGGTTTGAGGAGCAGCTCTCCTGCTGCTATCCTCTCCTGCCATTATAAAGTCTTGGAGAGAACATGGCTGGAAGGGATGGCACAGAACTAACCTAAGCATTTGTGCTGCAGGCCAGTGGCATGCTTGCCTCCAAGCAGCATCATCATTCACCTTCATCAACAATACTAGAGCTGGAGGTCTAACAAACCTCAGTAAAGTTGATGAAACATTGTTTATGTTTCCCTCTCTTATTCAAATAGAGAACTCACATCTATGACATGTGGCTCTTCACAAAAGTTACCATCAGTGATGAGGTTTGTCTGTTTTCAAAAGCCAGTTTGCAACACATAAACCAGAGTAAAAAGCTTTTTGAGGTAAACTGCTTTACAGACCTGATCCATAAATGTATACTGGACTCAATCCTTGTTTGGAACACCAATTAAACTCTGCTTTTATATGCTCCCACCACCTTCTAAGTACCAGTGATATTTCTAAAAAACTTATTTTCTCGTTGATGATAACCTGCCTTATCACACTGACTTGCCTGTGCTGATCTTTGTTCTGCTAAGGCTTTATCCAGGGCCCTGCTATAAGGAACATCAGGTAAAGTCATATTACATCAGTCAAAGAAGTTAAAGATCTGTCTTGCCTTACGAGCAGGTTGTCTGCACATACAGCTAATTCCTCTTACGTATCAACATCCATCCAGCTGCCAAGAAACTGGGGTACGCAGCAGCCTTTCCAGCCCTTCGTTCCAGCTCAGTCTGAGCACAAGCGCCGTGCAATCAGTTGGGTAGCAGCAGCTGTCCCAGCCTGCCACCCGCTGGCCCAGGGCCATGCGGACTCTGCCGTGACTCGTGTTTTCCGCGGCAACGCCTCCCAGCCGCTGGAGCTGCCTGCAACACACCCTAGCGGCACAGCTGGCGAGACGCTCCCGCCAGAGCGCCGCTGCTGCCGGCAAGGCTGCTCCACAGCTCCTGCTTCTTGCAGTTACTGCAAGTTAACTGTTACAGCATCAGCATGAAGCCTTAATACGTTCAAAGTCTTTTACATACGTTTAATCTGATCAGATTAATACTTTAATCCATGTCAAACTATGTCAAGAATTTAAAGTACAAACCACACAAGAACAAATGTCTCATGAGCAATCTCTAAGAGAGTATTAAAACCCCAAAGGCTGTCTCACTTGGCTTCAAACACTGTTACTGGCAGCAAATGAAGCCCACAGTACTCTAGACTGCTTCTGGAGTAGGGACCAAGTGGTGTTTGTCATGTCAATACTAGCTGGAGCCTCTCTGAGGAAAGTAAGAAAGGCCTTTGAACTGAGTTGAAGTAGTTTAGGATAAACAGAGCTCAATTTCTTCAGACTCAGCCCAAAGGCAGTTAGGTGTACAGGCTGCCAGTTCTCTGCTACTGACTTTGATCCACAAAGACCACCCCACTACTGGAGCTAGGTTCAGAAAGACCCAGCATATGACCATATTTTACTGTAAAACAGCATAAGCAAGATACTACAAGGGTCATGATGCAATCATGGCTCCTAAGAGCCAGAGCACACCATCAGAACTTCATCCTGGCACAGCTGGCACATCAGCAGATCATAGGATGAAGCAGCCAGAAGTGAGGGTGAGAGGTATAGTGTGCCTCTTGAGGAAAAGCCAAAGCTTTGCCAGCATGAATTGTCCAGCTTGAGACTGCCAAATGCCCACAGGTCAAGTGGCTAGGAGCATATCTAACATCTGTCATAGGTGACAGTGATGCTACCTACCAGCTATCTATGTAGGGGCCACATATCCAAAATGAACAGACTTCTGTGGCTGCTGCTGAAACTGAGCTATCTGGACAGAAGCTGAGTGTGAACTCCAGACACTTTAAAAGAATGACAGGTTGAAACTGTTCCTATCAAACAAAGGTAAAAGAGGATTGAATTCAGACATTTTTCAGCTAGACTCCTGCAGGATGATGTGGCTGGTAAGAGCTGCTCATTTTTCATGGGGTACCCAAGAGAAAAAGCAATAGGCTACAGCAAAGTAAACTGTTGAACAATCCTTAGATCCTGCTGGTGAGCTGCCCATTCCAAGTTGTGGTTGAAGTTGCTTCAGGCAGCCTGCTGAGAGCACAGCCACATAGCCTATTTTGAGCACGACGAGAAGTTTAGTCAAGAAATTAAGCAAGGCTCAGATACCCATCTTACTCAGAAAGCTGCCTTTAGAAGGGTATGGCTCACCAACCCATATCCACATATGCCAAATGGTAGTCAGCCTGCAGAAAGACAACCCTGGGGTTTACAGGCTGAGCTGCCTCAGCTATCACAGTGTATGCTCATCTGGCCATACCAAGGTTAGAGAGATTTATTTTACAGAAGCCTGGCTAAGGCTGTGCTTCCAGAAGCCCTGAAGTTTTAATCAGCCTCTTGTTGCTATCAGGAAGTGTAAAGACTGACAAAATATGAAGCATTGTAAAGTCATCTGAAGGAGTCCAAGCTATCTATCAATGCTTTTGAAAGGCTTAGTTTCCTTTTTGTACAGCACAGAGGAAGTAAAAGGGTGAGAGCTATTCAAGCAACACAGCCTGCAGTCCCCACATTTCATGTCAACAACCATTTTAAGAACAATCCTGAGTCAAATATTTATCTCTAGTGCTCTGAATGAAGAACTCCAGGTGATTAGTAATTTGTGACAGTTCTGTGCCTGAAGCCTCGGTTTGTCATTTTACATCCCACACAAAGTCTTGCCATACAACAACAGCTTGTTGTATCAGACATCTTTATTTGCTGTATTGCCCAAGTGTACAAATAACTGAACATAGTTATAGAAATTCAAAATATATTGTAGTAGAAATTTGCCTAGGAAGTGGAATGTTAAGACAGTTACTTTATAAAATTACTACACTTCTGTAAGTCACTCCCACTTGCAAGTTTTAAGTATATCAGGGCTATGAAGGAACAGATTACTTTATGCTCTTGCAAAATAGTTGTTCTCAGAAAACTTCTGCTAGATGAAGTCAGTCAACAGCAAATTGATTTCTTACATTTGACTCATTTTGAGTTATCACCCAACAAGACATTAGCTCCATCCAGACAACTCATACACAATTTGGCTCTCATTTATGCCAAGAAAGTCAATGTATCACTATCAACATATTGGATTATTAGTCGAACAATCTCAGTGATAATATTTATTTTAAGCTAGTGAAGTCAAGCCAATAAGTTGCCCCTGACCATTGAGTGCAATTGATGCTTTTGTCACATTTTCAGAATAAGGCGCCTTAGTTCTTGAACAAGTCAATACAGCTTTGCAGGAGAGACACATTGTTCTGGAAAGGAAGAGAATTAGTTTCAGATGAGTATGACTGATAATTTAAACCCTGCCTTCCACAATGAAGTAGCTTCCAAAATAGTAGGTCCATCCCAGGATCTCATAGCCTGTGACAATGCTGAATAGCTACTGCAAAGGGAAGCATTCAAGCAGTAAAGCATCCAAACTAGATCATAAAGTCTGCAACCTGCTTCCTGCAGGCCTGCAGCCATGACTCAGTTTGTGGGAAGGAGATGGGAAAGAAAAAGCAGTACTTTTAAAAAAAGTGGGCCCAACTAAGCAGTATTCTCAAGCCTTTTATATGTCACATTCAAGCTCAGCACTGAAGTAGCTACCTGTGATAAAGTCCAGGACTCCCAGAGTGGGAAATTAGACTTTTCTTCTTCAAAAGAAGCTGAGGATGGAGTTACCTCACCCTGGGTCTTCCTGTTTTGTTCTCCATACTAAATTAACAAACCCTGTAAACTGTGTACATCTTCCTGGATTAAGCTGGCAGTACATGGTGTGGTCTCTGCAGCCTACCTCAAGCCTGCTCAGTAACACTTGGCAGAGGCTGCAACAAAGCCAGGGTCCCTTTCACTGACAAGCTTCAGGATGCTTTCACAGCACTCCAACACCTGAAGCAGCAGCAGCCTCTAGATGCAGGAGGGGTCAAACCCCACAGATGAGGCTGCCTGATGGGAAGTTAGATGAGTTGTTGTGTACTACCAGCAAAATTGAGACTTCTCCCTGGCAGTGCAAAAAGCTGGCATCCTAGGAGTGACAAGTTGGAAACACTTTCTGCATTGGACAGGCAGGACTGTCAGCTTAGCATTTGTTCCTTGTATGCACTACACCTACAGCTTCTCACTTCCTTTCCTTTCCTTCCCCTCTTGAGATCTCAGCTGAAACGCCTGCCTGTTCTAGTTTACACTTCATAGTTTTAAAGGCAGCCCAGCAAACCCTCCAAGTGACACACTACTCCCTTCTCTCAAGCTATGCCTGTTAAATTCCAAAAAACACACACCTTTGCATGTTTTATTTCCAGTTCTGCCATTTCAATCAGGTTTTTGCGGAATGCTGATATTCTCTTCTGTTTGAAGCTCATCAGTTCTGTAGGGAAGAACAGAGATAAGAGACATACAAACTGTGACTGAAGTTTCAGCAATGCTCCTTATGTTTGAGTTCTATTGTACAGCTCTAGTTACAATATTTGGCCACAAAAGGGTCCAAGAATTAGTTTTGCTGTTTTTAGCCTGAAAAAAATCTTTAGAATATTTAGCCACAGTAATTTTACAGGTGTCTATACCACCCTTGGGATGTCCAGACTACTTGCTTCAGGAGAGTGTTCAGAAGACTTCAGCGGTTCAAGGTCAGATGGTGACCTGGACTGCATTAAGATCATCCTTCAGCACAAATATAGCACAGCCTATTTTACCTTGTTTTGCAGACTCTGAAATCTTCTCAAACTTCTGACAACAATCCTGTTGATGTGCCTCAGCCAGTCTGACATCCTTGCTCTTTAGTCTGGCTTTATCTAGAGCTTTGTTTGAGTTTTCATAGTCAACAAGAGCCCTTGTACGTCTGTACAGAAGATCCTGAAAGTAGGTAGAAATAGTGCATCAAAGCTTTAAGATTACTACTTCCCAAACTGAGGTTACAACTACCTTAGCAGCAGAAGGTTTCACTTCATCCAGCACTAGATCCTGCTTCTTCCAGCAAGGGACTATAACCTGCTATGCCCTTAGCATAGCAACAGGAGCCTTTCACAACTGCAGTGTCAAGTTTTCAGGACAGTCACCTGGTGTCTTAATCAAAGTCATCCAAGGGCTACTATAGACACCACTTCTTCCCTTAAAGTAGCTTTATCCCTCTATTAGGTGGGCCTCTCCACTAACAGGTATAGCACTTTCTGAATTTCCTCAGTCTGCTTCTAGTAAGGGACACACTATCGTTTAATTTTTTGGAGATTGAGTTTGAGGGAAGCACCACACTAACCTAGACATGAGAGGCAGTTCAGGTCTCAGCACCAACTGCTTTCTAACCTAGCAGCAGTATCAGATAGATATGACTGCACCAAGGCCTTTGACACCTTCCCTGTTGGAGAGATATGGGTTTGATGGACTGTTCAGTGGATAAATTGGCTGGACAGTTGCACCCAGACAGTATTGGTCAATGGCTTGATGTCTAGATGGGAAAACATGACAAGTGGTGTCCCTCAAGGGTCCGTACTGGCACCGGTGTTGTGACATCTTCATCAGTGACATAGACAGTGGCAGCAAGTGCACCCTCAGCAAGTCTGCTGACCATACTAAGCTGGGGGGTGCTGCTGACATGCCAGAGGGACAGGAGTCCATCCAGAGGGACCTGCACAGGCTGGAGAGGTGGCTCAGGCGAACCTCATGAGGTTCAACAAGACCAAATGCAGGGTCCTGCATCTGGGCAGGGGCAACCAACGTTACCAATACAGGCTGGGAGAGGACATGCTAGGGAGCAGTCCTGTGAAAAAGGACTTGGGGGTACTTGTAAATGAGAAGCTGGACATAATCCACTAATGTGCAATCACAGCCCACAGGGCCAATTGAATCCTGGGCTGCATCAAAAGAAATGTGTCAAGCTGATGGAGAGAGGTGATCCTGCTGCTCTACTCTGCCCTGGTGAGACCTCACCTGGAGTACTGTGTCCAGTCTAGGTTAGATGTTAGGACAAAGTTCTCTAATATGAGGGTGATAGATCCCTGGAATAGGTTGCCTAGAGAGGTGGTGGAGGCCCCATCCCTGGAGACATTCAAGGTCAGGCTTGATGAGGCTCTGAGCAGCTTAGCCTAATTGGAGATATCCCTGCTTATAGGAGGGGGAGTGTGGACTAGATGACCTTTAGAGGTCCCTTCCAACCCAAACACTATGATTCTCTAGTGGAAACAGCAGTACACCAGACAGAGCCTTTAGTCAGTGTTCCAAGGTACAGGACAGGGTATGACACTAGATGAGAAGGCACATCAGGTTATACCTCAATACCTTTTCTCAGCATAGTCAGCCCATTGTCAAGTCAGGTATTGAGTAGAAAAAGCTGCTGGCAAGGCTTCTGCAGTTACATCAGTGTATCAACTGAAGAGCTGAGGTTTAAACCCCCAGCCCTCACTCAGGGTTGACATATGGATGAAGTCCACAACCAGGCAGGAAAGGCCTTCCCCATTGGTTTTCACCTAGAGCCTGGCCAGCCTTGGGTGGGAACCAGTTAGGAGATCACCACCAGGTACCCCCACCTTCAGTATCAACACGAGGTGCCCTGCCTCCAAGTTAGCAGCATAAAAGTGGCTCTGCCTGCAGTAGCTTGGGGGGAGCTTACCTACATAGTGAATATACTCTGTAGGATTTCCAGTTACTGGAAGGGCCCCCCTGCCCCTCAGTTGCCCCTGTAGGCAGAGCCCCCCCAGTGGTGGTACATTGACACAGCCAGGAGCAGAAGGAATATATCCATAATAATGGCATCACTCTATGGTCATGGCCACACAATTGGAATTGGACTGGTCACCTGGGTCCTCAGCTGATCCACTCTGTCTTCAATTTGTCTTGCACTATGAGTGAATACATCAACCTTTTCATTCCTCCAGTAGCTGGCCACCTCAGATCCCTCACATGAGATTTAAAACTCAAAGGAGGGACCTGGCTTGTGTGCTGTCTGCTAATGATAATATCCTTCCTATCAGCATGTGCAGTCAGCAAAAGAACCAACCCCCTCTTGGAGGTGCAGACTCCAATAGCCTTCACATGTTAGTGCATACTCATTGTAAAATACCTGAGTAGTCACCACTGTTTTTACTGACACATCATGAGTGCTCTGTCAGGCAAAGGGTCAGAATGCTGCTGCAGGCTCAAATTCAGTTTGCTTTAGCTTACAGGAATTTAAAGAGTTCCTCCTCTTACATGCCAAAGAAAAACCAGCAATCTTACACAGACCTTCTGTAAGTGGGCTAGACTGTAGCTAGCCAGTATAATTTCTGTATTCTGCTATGGTTTTAGAGCATGAAGTTTAAACAAAATGAGGGTCTATCTTCCTGTCTTCTTAAAACCCAAAGCATACCATGAGTCACAATGCCCATAAAATTAAGCTTCAAAAAGAAAAGGTTCTCACCTTAGCAGCTTCTATATTGAGCATATAGTATCTCAACAGTTCAGAGAGCTTTAAGTCTTCATCTGACGAAACTCTACTCTCTACCTTCTGCAGAAGAGATCAGATAGTTGGTATGTAACAGGAAACAGAATCTCTGAATCTGGATGTTGCTTTCTCCCCTCCCCCCAAAGCTTATCTTACCCTGAGCTTCTCAAAGAGCTCAGCAACTTTCAACAGGTACCTAGGGGGAAAAGAATACGTACATAAGTATTAAGACACTTCTTAGTCTGGCAAAAGCTGGGATCAATTGGCAGGAAATCAAAACCCTGAAGGCTGGAGTTTACTCTTCCATACAGACCCAGACAAGGATCTGAAAATAACTCAGGTCTAGGCAAAGACCTGGACAAAAGGTTCAGTGCAAGAAGTGCTAGATTCCAGCCTAACAGACTAGTAAAGGTGAGCAGCTAGACACCATTTAAAGTAACAACACTGACCTCTAGAGCATAAAGGTCTTGTGGAAAATTCCCCTGCTGCTACCCTCCAAGCAGGATGAACTGTCTTGTTTACTCAGCTATATACTCTGTTTTAACAAGGCCTTAGTAAATTGATATCAAAGTTTAGACATGGACGAATTCACCTTAGAAAAGATGAATAGGTTTCCACAGCTTAAAACACTTATCTTCTGGACCTTTGAAGCTCTAGAATAGTATACAGGCCTCCTGTAAACTGTGGTTGTATTTTACAGATTATTATTAAATTAATTCAGAACACAGGTGCATAACACCTTTCTCCCATATTCTCTGAGTTTGTGACCTGAAAAAAACGTTAAGGAGACTTCTGCTTATAGAAGGAGCTTTGATGGCAAGCACAATTCAGCTGTAGGACACAACAGGCAAAAGACAGGCTACTTAAGAGTTAGATGCAATTAGTTCTAGGTCTGCTGCACCAGGAGCATCAGAGGAAAGAGTTTCAATGTCATTTGCTTGCCATAACCCAATCTCCTGGATTTTACAGAAGGAACTTGATACTCACAGACTCAGGATGTTTATCAACACCTAAAATTGCTTACTTTTTGATAACTGTAGGTTCTTCTAATGCCAGGCTGTTCAAGCAAGCGGAAGTATAAATATAGTCATCTGCAACATCTGCAAGAACAAAACAAGGTTTTCAGACTGAAGGCAGCAAGACTGCAATGCCTTTAAAAAGGTCTTTGAAAAAGATTCACTTTTATGGGATCTTGTCATCTTATCTGCTTTTGCACATGCATCCTTGATTCTGTTGTAGTAGTTTACAAGAAAAGTCTTCTCTTGCTCAAAAAAATCTTCTACTTCCTGAAAGAGGAAAGACTTAAGTCAGTTATATTACTGCAGAATACAAGCTCTTCTCTATTTTTGGGAAGAGTCAAAATACCATAACCACCTCAGCATTATGCCCATCAGTCTCTATTAAAAACTAAGCTCAAGACAAGATTGTTTGGCAAGGTTTTTTTCCACTGTGAAGTGAAATTGGACTTGACACTCAACTATCCAATGCCACAGGTTGCCTAAAGCAACCAGTAAGCCTTTAGGGCTACCAATTGTTGGAATTTTACTTCCCAGGCCTGCTGCAATACAGTAGCTCCTGTTTACAAGTAGTTTACAAGCTTGCTTCACATCCACAAAATTTATACGTACTGTAATGTTTCACAACAGTGTTTAAAACAGTCTATTAGAACGAGCTACCATGGCAACATGATAGAAAAGCTGAAGCTGGACCAGTTACAGGAGTCTTTGAAACTTCATCTTGTCTAGTACAAGCAGAAACCCATAAACCATGTTTGTTCAGAGCTCCAAAGTAGACAAAAGGCATGAGCATATTTGCTGAAGGTGCAATTCCTTCCTCCCCATCAGTATCAGGTGTTAGGACAACTCTTCTGCCTGCACTGGAAGCTTTAAATACACACTTAAATTTTTAACAGCCTACAGCTTCAGTGCCTTATTTCTACAGAAGTCAAAGTTACTGTAGGCTACTCCACCCAAAATGGGGCAGCAGTAACAAGGAAGGTCAGCATTAGCAACTGAGCCTTGGGCACATCAAGCCTGAAGCAGACCTAACTATGGTTTCTTGCTTCCTGCTCAGAGAAGTTAAAGATTGGGGAAAGTAAGAGGTAAACCAACCACCTTACCTTGACTCCAGAGAAGAGAACTTCATCAGCACTCTTCACCACACTTTTCAAAAAGCCACCAAACATCTCCTTTGTGTTTTTTCTCCGAACACTCAGCTGCAACAGAGGCCAAGACAGCTTTAAAGTTATTCTGAGGGTGAGAGAAGTGACAATTTTGACACTTGCAGTGTAGTAATATCATTTATATCTAGTATGAGACAGAGCAAGCTGATTTCTAAGCTCTCCATAATGCCTGCAATAAGCTGCACAAAGGTGACTCCTAACAAATGGCTAGAGTTCAGCTACTCTGAACCACAGATTTTTTCCCATTCCCAGAAAAAGCCCAGGTTCTCTTTGCCTATCTTGGATCAGCATCTATCACTTATACTTGTGTGACAGAACAGGTGCAGTACTAACTTTAATACACCTCCATTCTTCCATTTTAGGATCACTCAACACACAGCATAGGTACACCTGAACTATTACTAGTTCACAAGCTAGCAAGGCATACAAAGTTTGCTTCCTAACCAGCCTGAACAGGATTAAGAAACACCATGAGATTTACAGCAGAAAAAAAGATCTAAAGGTCAGGCTTTCATCCTCTTAGCAATATCTGCATTTTGATGCTGCACATGTATTTATGTAACATTCTGACTGCACCCAGAGAGGATGACAGCACTTCTACCATCTTGCCTCGTTCAGAAAGGACAGAAAAAAAAAGTGTCTTACATCTTGGTCATACTCCAGGAAAACATGAAAATTGCGATCCTTGCTGAGCACAGGATGAGAGGAAATCCTCTGCAGAAAGATTTCATGTGATGATACAGTCTTCTTGAAGACAGCGAGGTATTCACTGAAAGGCAAGCACAGACTGAGGTCCTCTTTTGTACTGCCTTCTTCAATGTACAAAGAATTGCTTTAAGTTTACCCAGTGAAAGTGTTCAACAGCATGTTTCTCAAACAGCTAGCTAGTGAGAGAGATGCTATTTTCAATCTCTTTAGCTAGGAAGTTTTCCAGTTTGAGAGAAAACTTTCGGCAACACCTAGCTCCAGAATTTTAAGAATTACACAGCAGCAGAAACCCTTCAAAACAGTCACGCTCAAGATCAGTTATCACCAAATCACCAGTTGCTCTCCCAGGAGGCTTCTTTAAATGCAGCTTTTACCAGTAGACTCATTCTACTTACGCTTCTAGCTCTTGCTTCATTTTGGCAAACTCTTCTTTTGTCATAGACACTTCTCCTTCCCCTAGCTTCTGCATCTTCTCTCTGGGACCATCAAAGTCAGGCTTTGAAGGTGCTGGAGGTATCTAGCCAAGGAATCAATTAGTCACAGATGCTAGCAAATACAGTTTCCAAAGTTACTTCTAGCTTTCTCTGAAAGCCTGGTCATGGCAAGCCAGCAAGGCTCTGCACTCAGGAATTCTAGAGGAATATTGATGTCTAGGTCCCTGTTTGCCACTCCCAGCTCTGTGCTACCCATGCCCCAGGTGGGTACCAAACAAAAGGAACAGCCTCTATAATCAACACCATAAACAGCCACCTTGTGTGGGCCACAGGGTCTCCTAAAGACTTAGGATAGGCAAGAAAGACTTTTTAATAGTATTAATTGTGCCACCTTTAGGCTAATATTAATGCTGCCATAGAGTCAGTCTCAGAGCATCAACCTTTTTTGCTGCACCAAGTTAATATTGCACCATAGCACTCAAGTTTTTTTGGTAGTTTAGGGCAAAAAGCAGCTTAAGGAATACCCAAGTCATGAAACACTAGTAACACTGGTAAAGCAGACTTCCTGCTCTTACTAGTAGGCACTTTAAAACACCATAGTCTTTTGGGTTTTTTTTAGGAAGTACTTACAATGAGTCCTGCATACTCTTCAGTTTCAGTGAGCGTATCATGCAGCCACACAAAGTCTTCATGCTGCCTTGTAACTGAAAACTCAGGGCTTTGAAAAGCTGGCAGTGTAGTCTGGAGGAAGAGAGACAGAAGTCTTACTGTTTTGTAAGTTAGTGCTTTTAGAAACAGTCCTGTCCATTTCCAAAGGAAGCTATTTTGCCTAGTAAGAGCCTCGCCTACTCCCTTTTAGCTGAGTTGGCACTCATTTGAGAGCCTTACTACTATTTAAAGAAAAAGCACTGTTGTGGAACAGCATTCGTGCAGTTCATTTTGTGAAGTTTCAGAGTAGGTTGTTTCCCCACCTCTAACCCCCCAGCTTTTAGTGTCAAGCTAGAATTCCTTAGCAAAGCCAATGTAGTGTATCAGCCACCTTGTCTCTATTTAAGAGTGTTCAAGTCTGAGGAAATCTGACCTTTCTACATATATACACATACATCCTCAGGCCACCTTTAAGGGGGAAACCTCTAGTTTAACTGCCAAACCATCTTTACAGTTATATGCACTGCAAATAGATTACCTGCACGACATTTATGAAAACCCCTTTCTACACCCCATGATCTCACCTTGGTGTGCACGGTAAACTTCACTCTGTCCTTTTCACTTAGGGCATCAGGTATATCAATTTGTAGAGAAGGATCAACATTCAGGTCTACAGATACAGACCTCAGCTGCAACAGAATTCACAGTATAAGCTTTGGTCAAGCATCAGATAGGCTTAATAGAGCTAGACTGGTCATCAGCTGTCAACAAGAACCACATTGCACTAGACCACTGCCTCCAGTAACAACACATATGGACAAGCATCACAGCCTTGACACTACCAGCACATCAGTGACAAGCCCTTCCTTCCAAACCCAGAAATGGAAAGGCTTGTTAGCTTAAAGTCTAAAGAACTGATTGTTAAGAGCTCACACTAGAGGTATTTAGGAAGTCTTATCTCAAAAGAAGCATCTTTCTTCTATTACTTCTCCAGCTTGTTTACTTGGAGCACATCAAGCCAAAGCCTATTCATAGAATAGAATCATAGAATGTATTGGGTTGGAAGGGACCTCTGAAGGTCATCTAGTCCAACCCCCCACTCCAACCCCCCACCCCCACCCCAAGCCGCGA